ACGTGTTGGTCACTTTCTGCACTGACACAATGCTTGGTGATTTTGCTTCATGATGTACATGATCAAGTTTTAACTGCTTTTTAACATCTGGGATGTTACAGCGCGTCCCCTCCTGGCGTGGTGACGCCTCCCAAGCCTGGTGTGGCCACCCGGCGCTCTCCGCGAGGCCCCCAGCAGGCACAGCTCCGGCTCGGAACGGTGAGCTCTCATGCATGTCGGAAGCAGCAGTAGGATTTAAAATTGTGCAAAATGGTCTAAAAAAAGGGTGCAAAGATGGTCTAAAAATGTAAAAAAATGGTCCTAAAGAAAAAAAAAACACCAAAAACACTTCTGTAGAACAACAACCATGTTAAAAAGAAAAGAAATGGCCCCTAAACATGTCTCTACCGGAGGGAGAATGGCGCCACAGACCGCAAATGAAGGAGGGGCAAAATCATCCTTTTGCGTTTGAGTTAACACCATTATATGCCCAATCTGACGGTAGTGTCATTTTGGGGAAAAAATTTGAAGCGAGGCCAGATAAGGAAGATTTCAAATTTGAATGCTAAAAAGTTTTTTTGGTTGTCAAATAAGGAATTTTGGGACGACTGCACAAAACTTTGGGAGTACTAAATTGCAAGATGGGAATGGAAATTTTCAGATAACACCAAAATATGCCACATCACTAGCCAGCATGGCGTTTTATTTTGCCCATGTGTCGCGTTCGTGAGCAGTTGTGCATCCACCCGCCAAGTTATTGAACTCATATGTACATTTAGAAAAATAATGTACCTAAGTGCACCTCAGTGCCAAGTTTATGTACTAGTTTGTGCATTTTACTCTTTTTAATTTTCTATACGTTGTCCATTGATCACGAATACTGGGCCACTCTTTGTTCCACTTGCTTGGTTCGTTCACAAATACTCCCTTCGTACTATTATAATTAACTTTTTGAAACTTTTTGCAAAAAGAAACATGTATCCTTGTCTTCTTTCTTTTTCCGGAGTATATCTCCAGGATTTGACGCAACCGTGATTAGCTTCCGTGCTAGGAGCTAGTGTCTCATATTTTTTGTAGAATGTTTTTTTTTTCTAAAATAATTTTTAAACTTAAAAATGTGATTTATTTTAGGACGGAGTAAGTATATCATTAAATTAACAGTTATGTGAGATGTATCGGTAAAAAATAACCAGCCAGGAGGTATGTGGAGTAAAAAAATAATATTCCATGTATATATTTTTAAATATTACAAGTTTTATGAAAATCCAATTAGTTCAAATTCAAATAAATCTATATCTATATCTATATCTATATCTATATCTATATCTATATCTATAAAACCCACTAACTTTCAATCTTTGCATCCAAGCTATCAACTTTACATGTGAGCTATCAACGTATTACACTTATACTCTACTAAGGGTGTGTAGGGTGTATTTGGCGGAGCTTCTTGCGGCTCCGACTCCTCTTACACATCATACTGTAACAATGCTGTTCACAGGAGTCGTTTTTTTTTGCTCTCTTGCCAAAATGAACATGGATCCGAGAGAAGCCACGATTTATGTCTCATCTGGCTCTGGCTCCTCTAGAACTGTAGCGGAACCGAAGCCCAAAGGAGCCTAGCCAAACAAGGCCTAAGGACCACATTATCTTCTATCAAGTGTATTTACTACTTTCAGTCTATCAACATATAAGACATCGACCTCATACTATTTGTTTAGCCATCACATCCTCTTATAATTGGATCTAATATTCTCTAATCTTTTTATTACTCCATTCGTACCAAATTATAAGTCGTTTTTGTTTTTTTAGATAGCATAGCAAAAACTATGTATCTAGAAAAGTCAAAATGGCATATAATTTGGAACAGAGGGTGGTAGATTCTATATAGCTTGCCCAATTTTAACACCATATCTCATACATGCACAACAATTTTATTCTAAAAATGTCCCGTTGCAATGCATAGGGTATTCCTCTAGTTAGTTCGATCTTACTAAATGTCACATATTTAATGATAGGAGTATCAATCATGTCCACACGTCTGCAAAATACAGAAGAAGACATGTACTATTTGAAAGCATAATTGTCTGGGAAAGCTTAAAAAGTAATAATATATAATAGTTCATAGTTTGTTTGGACTTCAGTATAAAAAAACAAAGCTTGGGCCATGTCATGTCAAAGTCGTAGCGCCATCCAATGAACAAAAAAAATTATATATCCGAAGTAGAAATCCCATCACCCATGGCCATGATTAAACTCCTATAGTTGTTGCATCCAGTAAAAATAATTGCATCCAGTAAAATCCCTGTGTTCTCGATATTGACTACTAATGGCTAATTAAATATTAGGTTTCGAAACATAAAACTCACATATATAGGTCCTGTTCGCTGGTCTGAAACTTGGCTGAAACTAGCTGGTTGTGTGAGAGAGAAACACTGTTCGGCTAGTTTGGTGAACAGTAAAATGTGAGGGGGAGCAGCCGGCTGGTCTGGAACTTCCAGACCAGCGAACGACCCCATAGATTGCCTTGTTGAAAAACATATTACTTCCATAATCTCAAAACCTTGTTGAGTTTATAAATATATTTAATTGAAATAGTTGCCAAAGATATGTATTAGAGATTATGTCAGTTCAAAACACCAATATTTTTACCAGAGGGCGTATTCTTTCAGGGGGCAGTTGGATCATAAACACATGCACTTCTGCAAATTTATCTTTTCGAACCTAGACTTATTACTAGTACGGTACAACCTTTTAATTTTAAGTGAAAAGGTAAATATTATTCAACATAATAAATGAAATTTTAGTTTGCTCAATTTTCTCTATTGCAAACCGTTGAAAGGCATACTAGACATTTATTGTTATTAGTTTAATGACTGCCAACTGCATATAACTTAAATTGCATGACGTGCGCGCTGAAGTAAATTTTTAAAGGAAAGATGTAGGTTAGCAGTTAATATCACTGGAAGATGGTGGGGACGGTACCTTGTTCAAATCACAAGTTGGACAACACAACTACTATGACCGGCCATATACTTTTCTAACAACAAAGGTAAACAAAATAGCAAGATCATGTTCTTACTTAGTCAGACATATCTATACTTTTCCTGGTGATGCCATTCACTTGGCTATACCATATGTAATGCACACTAGTAAATTGAAGAAGAAATAGGAGGTAGTTCCAAGCTGCCATTAGGTCAGGGTTCCTGAGCTCACATGTCTTTAGGAGTGGGGCTACCTACAACACCCTCCCTCATGCCTTCGGTTGGAGCCACCTAATTTGGCATCAACTTATGCCAGCCCCAACAAACTACCCTCACAAAGGGCACAAGATATGCACGCATTCCCAAGAAGAGGGGGGAAAGGGAAGAAAGGACAATCTTGAGTGTTAAGAAAGAACAAGATCTTTGGACTTGGCTTTGGCTTATTGATTTGGAAGATCAAAGATTACAAGCCATGGCCCGAAATCATGAGTTGCTGTGGGCTTGGGGAAAGGCCCCAAGTGAGCGAAATATGGTGGTGGTGATGATGATCACTCGCTACCAGGATCCGGATTTTTCTTGATGGATTAATGAGCTCCTTTAGTTTCTTTAAGTACACGGCACATGGTGAAATTAGTGGGTCTTGGTGCACTCAGGATGGACCAAGTGCGCTTTATGCATCTAAAGCATTGTCCTTTGTCATCTCCTTTACTTTCCTAGAATTGGATGTTGTGCTGCAAGCAGGGAGCAGCATATGACATGTGTATGGTATACTAAAACACCATAAATTCTGGTTATGGAAACCTAGGGGTTGCTCTATTCTCTGCTCCTAGGACCTAGGCCCTATCCAGCTCGATGACATGGACAATTGGGGCAGCCTAAACAGCGGACACTCACCAAGCTAGCTAGGAACCCTAAGTACTAGAATAGACTACATCTTAGATGGTGGTGGTGGTTTTTTTTTATCTTACTACTATTATTACTTGCATGATTATGACCATACCGGTTGAAACAGGGTGAAAAATAACACATATTGATGCATATTTCTGAAATTCCAATCTTCTTACCCCACCAATGTCATTGCATATTTCCGAAATTCCACTCTTCTTACACCTTCCTACCTACCAATAGCATTGTCTCCAGAAATTAATTTGACTAGGACAGTATTACAAAACCACATCTCAGCCCTCATTGGATTATAGGGTAAATAAAAGAAAAAACATAGTTCTCATTCTGATTGAGTTACACCTTCCCACCAATAGCATTGTGTACAGAAATTAACTTGGAAGTTACACCTTCCTACCAACAGCATTATCTACAGAAATTAACTTGACTAGGATAGTATTATCGAACCACATCTCAGCCCCATTTGGATTATAGGGTAAATAAAAGAAAAACATAAAGTTCTCACTCTATAGATTGAGTTACTATAGTTCCATTTGGTTCGCAAGAATCATTTGCATAAAAAAATAGGAAACTTTCCTTTGCGTTTGATTCCATAGAAAAATCACAGGAAAAAAAACATCCATTAAAACTTCATTGTTTCTTGTTTTGGTAAAAAAAAAAAATGCAACTCATCCAAACAGCTATTCCTACAAAATTCCCGTATCTTTCATTCCTCTATTTTGCATATGCATTCCTGCCCTATTCATGTATTTGGGCCTTAATGAGTAACAATTTAAGATTTTCTTTTACAATCAAACATCATACATGTGAAGAGAACAGTAACAATTGAGATACTCCTAAAGCTATCCATAGGACAACAATCTATAACAATTTAAACTTTAAACTTAGTTTTACATGGATCAGGAGTGGGCAGAGATGCTTACATCAATTTTACATTGTTCCTGGTTGGCACAAGAAGCCATCCAGAATCTTTGTTCAGAGTACAGCTTCTGGACTGATGCTGAGCCCAGTATTGAAAGTACCGTAGCACACATTCAGCAGACAGCTCCATGCAATGCTTATTATTACAAACAAAACCTTTGTGCCAGGGCTTGTTGATACAATAACCACTTGAGGCTGAGCTTCAGACCGAATTTACAGATTTATCTTCCAGGACGGATGAGGCAACATCAACTGTAGCGGGTGCCATGGTTTACCAGCAATAGGCTCCTTGCCATCCACATGTACATTGACCATGGCAGAGTCATCAAACTCTGCACTGCGTTTTCTTTTAGGAGCCTGGCCAAAGGGGCATCATGATATCAAATACGATTCTTCTTGTGCAAATAGCAAATGTCAACTACATATAGGTAATAACTAACTACAGGATCAGTCAACATCTGGTCTATATAAAGTTTCCTTATCTTGTGGCCAGTTAATTTGCATGACATTTTATAAGGAATAATTGTGCCTTCAAGACTATATGAATCAAGTGAGGGAACTGTAAGAGAATTTTACAAAGCCCATCCCAGGCATCAATAATAATAAGATTCTGTTGGTTGTAGACCTCAACCTCACCAGCAAGTATAACTACACCTTTGCAATCCATGGCCTTGTCCACCAGAATCTCACTGTTTGCATAGTTTCGATTTTCCTAGTGTGACAAGATGTTTGTCCCCACATATCCAAGCATGCAGGAGCAGCCATCCTTGCTCCAGCCATGTTGCATGATGAGATGTGGCAGAATCATACATAAAAAAGGGAACATTTCCATATCTAACCTGTAAATTTCATTTATTTGGATTTTAGCCTGCAAGACATAAACTATGTTACTACATGTGAGGCCTATTCCTGTAGGCCAATAGTTTAATTATCAGGTCAAAAAATGTCACAGGAACCTGTGGTGCAGGCAGCAATAACCACCATACATGGCAGCAGTTAGTGCATTGCATGTAGGGACAGGGGTACTGCATGAATTAAGGAGTCCTTTATCAACAAAATATACATTAACAAAATCTCACTATCTGTAAGCACAAACAAATTGTTGCCAATTCCAGAACTGAAAATCCAGTTACCAAAATTTAGTGGGCCTCCAGCTCATTTTTGTTCTGGTGGGCATTTTGCAGAGGCACAGACATCATTATTAGTTTAAAAAAAGAATCAATCTATTAGTCAAAAACAAGTATTTCAGCCAATGAAATAACAACTTTCTTTTTTGTGATCCATATATGATTCCGATTTGATTATTGCAATTTCCTTGTGTACTAATCAGCAACCCTACATCTGTTTAATATTTAAAACACAATCCAGGAAGCACATCGAAAGAGAAATGTGCTTTGGGAAAATTACTTTTTGGCATACCTGACATGACAATTCACAGAATTAACAGACACGTCAATGTCTGTATCCAATAATATCAGAATGAGAAGTGTATGATACCGAAGGGAATAAGGAAATCTCATGGGGAATGGATATAAGCAGAATACGAAAAGGTTGGCCAATTTTGAACTTTGAATTAAGATTGCACCTTCTCTAAACTGCATTAGCTAAATATATCGAAACCCCAAATAGGTCATATTTCCTTACAAGCATTAAATGACAGCACAACCATAGGCAACAAATGCAAATGGGAGTAATCAGGTGCAGATTATAACAGAATCACCTATAAAACTCGACAATAAAAAAAGTATTACTTAAAGCAAGCAGCAAAAAACAAACATGAAGAAATTTCAATGGAGGTAGTTAATGCATTAAGACAGGATGTTGGTTACTATCAAGTTCCTATTTCCTAATAAAAGTAAAAAACACCATACCCCTTGCAACGTAGCATAAACGAATCAGCTTTCTTCATCATCAGTTTGAGTTGCACCTTTCCTCGATTTCCTCCTTGAATGTGGAGATTTCCCTTGAACAGGATAAACCATGCAGATAAGCAAATAATATAATATAATGTTGAAGTTAAGCAAAGGAAATTACTATACTACCCATCACAGAGGATTTTGCATGTGCACACGTGGAGAAGGAAACAAAAGATTGCTCATCCTCTGGATATATCATTACATTCATGAAAACATATACAACTAAATCAATATAACTAATAGCTTTAACATATGGAACAGAAAACATCATACCAGTATCTACCTTGAGAGATGAAACTGAAACATACAGAAGATAGCTGCGACCAAAATGACACAACCACGATAACAGTTTGTTCTAACTTCTAAGACATCAAAAAACCAACTACGATAGATTAGCTTATACAGCACATGTATGCATCCTCTTATAAGTTCTTTCTTTTTGTACTTTTTTTTTTAACTCATAACAGGTTTATATTCCATTTACTTGAGGATGATGGAGAGGTGCAAACAGCATCAATTGTAACATTTTTAAAGAGTGCTGTCCCAAGAACTATTTATTCCAAACTAAGCTCTAAAGGTAGCAGCAACAAAATTCGGCTGGTCTCAGAGGCATGCCTATATATCGAATCACACTGTCAACCACCAAAACAGGTGATTATGTATACAGATTAGTGCTACATGGCTTGGCTTTGCAAGTTAGAATAAATGGTCCAGGACATTCAAGAATCAACCGCTTGCCAATCAAAGCACCATGGAGACTTGGCATCCTAATCATTGGAAGTCTTGGACAACCCTTGTGCAGCAGATAGCCATGTCATGAGTGAAAGCCACCGGATAAACCTTTGCAGTGCGTTTAATACTTGGACAATAGTCACCAGCAGAAATGCCAAGACAACTAGCTTTGGGAGCATCATCGCTTAAATGGACCAAGGCTAAATAATATTGCCCCAAAAATTTTCAATGCATCCATATATAAGAATCGGACCTCAACTTTTACCCTAGTGATGAGCACGGACCTGAATTTTATCCTCTTTGAAGGATTAGTTGTCTTATCATCTAAAATTTACAAATCTACATCCAGGAGAACAGTAAAAGATCTTTCTTCTTCCTCGAAACAACTGGGTTATGAGCCAAAAATTAACATTACATGTGTAACACAAGAAACAAACATAGAGAATTGCATAGTAATGTAAATTCCATCTGTGCTTTCCCTAATCCACTCAAGAGACTGTCCTCCAGACAACAAATCTTACTATCCTTTTAATGGCGCATGCTGGATACTCATTATCTTTGAGTTGATTGGGGCCATATCTTTGGAAGTCAACAGAAAGCGACGAAGAACAAGAAAAAGAGGCACTAAGCAGGTAGCATGGCTCCATCCCAGTGTCTCCCACCCACCCCCAGCTCTGCAGCGCTGCTGTGCAAGGCGAGTGGCGCATCCAACCAAAAGATGGTAGGCTTCGTTGATGGTCGGGTCCTGCTGGTGCTGCCTTTCTTGAGCACAGGTGTGGCGAGCCGCAGGTGCTGGAGCCAAAACTGAAGACCACCGCCCTGGCCATCAGGCAACAAGGCTGATGGTGGCTTTGTTCACCATGGCCACACATCAACAACACTGTCAGGTAAACATTCTCATACCCCAGAAGCACACGCCGAGATCTCCATGGCTACCTGGGACGTGGGAACCACTCCAGCAGGCAATGAATACAGCAAAGGGGGTCAGTTTGAAAACGCTGCACTTCCGTTCCATTTCCCAGATCAAACCCACCTTTCCCACTGGGATTGAATCGGCAGGATACCTATTTCCCTATCCCAGAGTCCCCTTGCTTCCCATTCCTCCACAACATTTCCCATTCCCACCCCACATATCCCATTATCCAAACGCCACCTGAAGCTAATTTGGTGGGTACTGGGAGTAACAGCTAACAAGCAACAGCCATATATACAGAGCAAGGCCAATACGCAGCAATAATCCTCCTACACATCTGATAAAATAGGATGCATATATAATATAATTAAAGTGAGAAGGTTTGTCATTCTGACACAACGATCCACAGCTATTTGCTTAAAGCATGGCACCCATAGACCAGAACATATGAAATTCTAAGCACCAGATCACGAACAGCACTCACCTTCAACGAAGAAAGAGGCCGAGGGCCAGCCGCGTGTGGTGGAGAAGCAAAGCACCGGATCCTCCGTCATGGGCGCGTCGAGCTCCACGACTTCGACCGCTCCGCCAACGGCCCCGGCGACTCCCTCGGTGCCCCCGGCGGCTGCGATACCGCCCACGAGCTCGGCGCCCCCGGCGGCCGCGATCCGGCCCACGAGCTCCGCGACCCCGTGGGGGCGCCGCAGCGGGGGCACCCAGAAGGACCCTCCCGGTACGAAGGGGAGCCAGTCGGGCGCGGCGCGGCGCACCATGACGCCGTGGATGGCCTCCTCCAGGCGCCGGATCCCGACCACCTCGACCGACGGGGACGAGGGGGAGGAGCCGTGGGCCGAGGAGCCAGCGTCTTCCTCCGTGAGGTCGATCTCGATGATCTCGACCTTGGTGGCGAGGCCACGGAGGGAGGCGGATGCGGCGGTGGTGGAGGGGGAGGAGGCGGGGCGGGCTAGGGTCAGGGTTTGCGTGAGGAGGCGGGCCATCGGCGGCGGCGGCGGAGGACGGATGTGGTGGTGGAGATGGGGTGACCGGGCGAGATTGAGACGGAGGCGGAAGAGATGGGAGGGAACAGATGCCGCTGCTGCGGTAGTTCGTTCACGTAGTCGCCACGGACGATGTGGGGCCAAGATGTCAACGAGATGGTTTCTCACGTGGCCCTACATGTCACTGGGCAATATTAAAGATTGGTATAGTTGGCACACAAGGCTTTATTATATTCTTGAGAATCATGTCCTCCGTACGTTCCAATGGAAAACACAGAGACCTGCTAAAATTTAGGTGCATGAATTTTAATATTTTTAGACGACGATTGTCGTGTATATTTTTACTAAAATTCTAGATTTAGTTCATTGCAATTTATGTAGGCATAGTTTGCGTTTTTTGGTTTTGAGAATAAAAACACGTTACACAAAACTATAAATCCAACAAAATCTGATCCACGTTGGTATAAAGACAACTAACAATTAATAATTATTTCTATTGTCTGACAAGGACAAAAATTTGATATGTTATGATAAAAAAGCAAAATACAAATCATAAAAGTAACAATGTACTTATACTAGTTGGTTGTATAAGAGTATTGCTTGATATTATCTTAAAATTTAGGCATATGGAATATAGAAGTGAAAAACAATAATACCATGATATCCGCCTTGTCCGTGGGGACGTCGTCGCATGCCCTCCGTACACGATAGTCATCTACGCTGGCAACGCCACCGCTTGATATAGGTCCAGGACGTCGGGGCTTGGTATCGGACGAGAATACGTGGATATAGTCTTTATATCGGAACTGGGTAGGATGCAAACATCTGAGCTCCGAGTGGAAGAATGATTCGTATCGGACACGGACGCATGAGTAAGGATCGAGTATCACTGGGTAGATGATAATGTTTCAGTCTTTTTAGGTGTAGATATAGATTATAGGAACTAAGATTATATTCTCGGGTTGCAACGTGAACAAACTCATTTATATTACTAGCAAACGTGTCCATGCGCAGCAACAGAACCCAATACGTATAGAATCAGACTTAGTACCATCACTACACGTGAGTTGTTATAAGCATAGTTCATGAGTCCAGATCATATACGAGATACAGAGAGCGGACCCACTATGTCTTGGAATGGAAGCCCGTATCGATCATCGCTAAACGCGAGTTGTTCTAACTTGTATGAGCATGAGTCATAAGTTTGAATCATATACGAGACATGAAGAACATAGTGGAGTTTTTTGAGAAGTAAAAAGACGAGATGGAAGAACCTCTCCAGTGTCCTTGTAGTTAAGGGGAGGTGGACCAAATAATAGACATAGAGTTTTGGTTCTTTAATATTAGGTCTAGATTACCAAAAAACAATATTTACTGTGATTTTTGCACACTAAATTTTTAGTCAATTGTCATGAACAATTACCACATAGGCACATAATTCAGGTATCAAAGCAACCAAGTTTGTAACTTAAAACATTGAAAGGATCTAGAAAGTTAGAGGGGTGAATATTCTATAAAAGTTTAATCTACAAAAGCACAACACTAGAGCAAAGATGGTTAATACAACAAATGATCCTAATAGCCTCTAGTTGGTCTAGCTCAAGATCACCTAAAGCAAACCCCTAAACAATACTAGTGGCAACTGATTTCTAGTCTAAGTCATAACACCACACAAGGCTACTTAGTTGAACAAGCTAAGAGGATGTTCAAGAGCCTTTCTAAAATCTAGTCTCTAAATCATCATTTGGAGAGTCATTTGAGTAAAAATCGTTTTCTATATCTTTGTAATCTCCAATAACTTTTCTATTTCTTGTGCACAGTCTAGAGAGCCATCCTCGCTCTTCATCTTTAGCTAGCGAGAAATCCGGAATAGAGTATATCTATATTTAGATATCCAATTGAAGAGGCTATTGGAGGGTATTTTTTTCACTAAAATCTCTATTCCTGTAAATTAAGAAAGATATAAAGAGTCTGATGCTCTAACAAGACCAACTAAACAACTATTTACTACTACAACAACACTACTCTAGCTAGTAGCATTTGCAACTAAAGATAGGACCGCAAAGAGTAACCATGTCAAAATAAAAAATAGCATTAACATTTATAAATTAAAATAGTATACAAATGTGATAAACGAGAGATATTACATTGTCTATGGAGTTAGCACGTATTTATAGATGATGCTCTTTGTATATACGCAACTCACATTAGAGATATATTTTTCCCTTCTTCATATCCTTTTACTACAACTAGAATAGTTAAGATCCTACTGTTTAATATCACTACTACGAAAAAGATGTTGCGAGACAGGGGCCAACCATTAACGAAGGCGGACACAATAGGGTGTGGCTCTAGATCGTGCTACATACAATTAGCCATGTTAAAAAAAACATCAGTGTTGATCTCATGCCCAAATAATATTGACTGACAAGTGAGTGTGTACTTGCTGGCGGTGGTTACGATATAAAATTGTATAGTCAAAACCGTCAACATTGTCATGTAAACACAAGGAACTTAGCGAATCATGGTGCATTTTGTGTTTAATTAACAAGTTCTACATGTTTATGGACATCCTGGCATACATGTCGGCAAAGTTCTTTTAAAACTAAAGTATCAGGCAAGCTAATAGACATGAGCAGCATGGATCATTTTTGAGAAAGTTAGGTTCTGGATAGTTTGGAATGATCTAACTGGTAATGATTTCATCTATTCACATGAGATGGTTTTGGGTTCTCACACTATTAGTAACTATAGTTTTAATAATAAAATATGACCAACTAAAAATACTAATTGCAGTATCCTATGTCAAGGCTTTAAGCCTTTGGATATAACCTTTGGTTCTATTTGCTAAAGCTTAATTTTGTACTTACGTTTATTATATTTAAAATGATCTAACTGGTAATGATTTCATCTATTCACATGAGATGGTTTTGGGTTCTCACACTATTAGTAACTATAGTTTTAATAATAAAATATGACCAACTAAAAATACTAATTGCAGTATCCTATGTCAAGGCTTTAAGCCTTTGGATATAACCTTTGGTTCTATTTGCTAAAGCTTAATTTTGTACTTACGTTTATTATATTTAAATGCTATTCAATAAAATCCTGGATCGATACCAGATGATGAAGCTTTTGAACAGTTCCCTCTTTTAGGAGTTCTAGACAGAGAGCTTTCCCAGTCCGTGTCCCTATGGTGTGGAATTCCATAGAAAAAATGTTTGTGCGCTACTCTATGCTTGTTGAGAAAGATGCGGACTTAATGTAATGGATGGTTTAATCTTTATGTATTAATGTGTGTTATCTGTTATATGGTATTTATGCAATTTATGAGTATATATGTGTGATGATCTTTCTGGATATGTAAATATTTAGTACTTGGTATTACTTTTAAATTAGGTGCGACATAGATGAAGATGCATTTTGCACCAAAATTATAGAGCTCGACGCAATCTAAAATTTTGTAGTTGATAAGTTTCTATTTGAAACTGTTTTGTTCCAAAAAAATCATTTTTATTTCTTAGATTTTGAAATTTAAAATTTAGAATTTTCAAACGACTACAGATATTGACATGATCTATACCAAAGTTGCCGCTATCAATGCGATCTACAACTTTGTATTTGTCACACCCAGTTTTAAAGACAAAACTGAGTACTAACTATATGTGTGCCCAGGAAGTCAAATCACACATATAGCGACAAATTACAATAGTATCAAGAGACAATGCTTTATTATATAACGAAACATACTCATATTTAATACTTACATCAGAGTATCGCGAAACGGTAACTAATCCTTAGGCTCCATTCTTCACAGGGACGGTTGGCTGGGGGCTACGTATGCCAAACACTTCTGATAGTATCCTGAGAACTCCTTCGTTGTCTTCACCGATCTTCTGAGCAACTTTTACTAGAGTCTGGGGGTGTGGGAAATAGCAAGGGTGAGCACATGTCGTATTCAGCAAATATAACACGGGTTCATGAGGCTCAAAAGGCTGACACTGGTTTAACTGCGATTAGCTTTTAATTGTCACAATTTTAGCAATTGAGTAGCAACAAGTATATCACCAGCCCGTGTAAACACATGATCAGATAAACATGAATAATGAATAGCATAAACAGTAATCATTAATGAGCATCTTCATCATCAGTATCATCTGTGTTCATCATCTATTCCGTAAATGTTCCAAGGCCGCTCGTGACCGTGAGCACGGCTGATATACCAGTTTTACACTCTACAGAGGTTGTACACTTTCACTGTGAGTCGTGATTTACCCTTTCGCCCGAGGCGGCCAACCTCTTGACCCACTACCAAGGAAGGTCGGCAGGGTTCACTATGAAGCCTTTCAAAGGTTCGTCTAACAAGTTAGGGCCGCTAGGTTTCTGTGGCCTGCGAATGTAGAGCTCCCCTTCCGGCAGGCACAATGACGCGCAGCCTATACACTGACGGACAGAGGCCGCACTATATCCAACCCGGAACACACCCCTCTTGCGCCATAAAGGTAACCACTAACAAGCTAGAAAAGGTCCTCATACTGAGCTAAAGCCAGAGCCATGTAGCCCTCACAGCTGTACTGTAAGCCCCGGATGATCACTTACAGATAAGTTCTTAGGGAGAGCAATCTAGAGCACCATAAAATAGCCCAATGCTCTAGCCCCTGATTCCATGTTGCTAAAAAAATATCTTTTAATGTTTATTGCATATACCATTAGTCAAGTTACAAGATCATGGTTATAATTGAGCACTAGCAAAGCTACCAAATGCAATAACCCAAAGGTATCAAGGTACAAGTACAAAAGACTAGGATATCCTTAGTGGCAGTCAAGGTAGACACATGCAGTATGATAAGTGATTAATGGTGTATAGGACAACAAGGAAGATCCCATGCTATACTTGCCTTTTACTCTTGCTCACATTTTCCTCATACTTTGCTTCTGGTTATCACCTTCCGATCTTCAATGGTCACATACGTCTTTCGTTCTATTCGTAGCAAACATCA